AAAGGGCAATGTGGCCAGACGGCAGTAACCAGGCGCAAGGACGCCTTTGGCAATATTGCTAGGCGTCAAAGCACCGTCGGGGCAAGACAAGCCCTACGCCCCAAACCCTAACGCCTGGAAAAAGAAACCCTAAAATCCCACAACCCTACAAATTCTACACCCCTACACCCTAAAGCCCACCCGAAAAACCAAAACCTTAGACCGAGGCTAAGGGCGGCCTCATCCTAGGTCCTCTGGGTCTCGTGCGCCTCGGTGTCCAGAAATCAAATCGAAAATTACATGGAAATTAGGGTTGAGGGTTCTAGGGCTGTGCGGTTTAGAGGCTTAGGGGTTTTAGGATTTAGGGTGTAGAGGTCCGGCCTTGGAGCCTGGGGTTTAGAGTTCAGGACTTTGGGCTTGAAGTTTGGGGCCTGGGGGCCCACTGAATTTGCGAGGTATCATAGGGTCTTCAGAGGGTTACACCAGATCGGAAGGGAAGTTGAGAACGGAATTGGTGAGCCCGAGGGTAGTGTTGTCCACGGAACCAACATGGACTCCCGTCGTGGCCCCTATATAGACTGCACTCCTTTTGAACGAGGGATGCCTGGGGTTGCCTGTTAGTTTGGAGGGATACTATAATATATTATAACTATAATATACTACAATTTTCTATAACATATTATCATTATATACTATAATAATATACTATAAGATATTAGAAGATTACATCCCTGTCTAGCGAACACGGGGGGAGGGCACTTCATCCTCCTCTTATCATTGCTGCCACTGCTACTGTTAATGTTTCGTATTACAAGTGCTGCTACGCCACCTGCTGCCATTACTACTACCACTACTCCTCCTCCTTCTGCTCTTGCTACTGCTACTGCCAATTGATGCAAATGTTGCTGCTGTTACTATTACTACTGCTACTACTGCCACCACTACTGCTACTACTAAATTGCAAGTTGGCCACTAGCTCTTCATCAAGCTGCAGGTTTGTGGCAGCGCTGTCACATCACTGCGGCTTGTCTGGGCTTAAAGCTTTAGGCTCACGGTTTAAGACTTGCTGCTTTAATTAGAGGTTTTCCCAACACCTTCAGCTTTAAACGCATCTTTGGGCTGATGGTCTACTTAAGGCTTCATGTTCAGGGTGTCAGGGTTAGTTTAGCAGTGAGAAGATGGATGCCTCCATTATCTATCATGTTCTTGATATTTTGTTCCAGGTACACATACACATTGACAAAACAACACCAAAGATGATCTGTGTCGCCAGGCAAAAAATTATACAGGAAACCCTAAGGTGTCCAAAGCTTTGGATTCGAGATCGCATGTTGCGGGCAGCATGCCCCAAACAGTGTGTACATGTTGGCACATCCTTTTTTGCAATTGAGCAGTGAGGTAAATGCCAAACCCTATGCCCAGGTACTGCGCTTGTGCCATTGATTGAGCAAAGTCCTGCAGGAATTGTCTTTCCTTTCCCATGCGATGAGATGTGCCAGATTTCAAGCAGCAAGAAACATGTGTCCGAGCGCACCAAGCTGGCAACCAACAGTTCTACCACGGTTTTGATGCAGTATTGTCCACCACAGCTATGATCCTCCTGCTTTTTCCTCTTTACCCTATTGTTGTCAGAATGTGGAAGAACCCAAGCAGCAGAGAAAGAACGGTCTTGAAAATCATTTTGCTTCATGTATCTCATACCATGGCTCATGTTGTTGTAGGCGCAAGTACTGCTGCTGGAGTGACGCAGGCATGGGGCTCCTACTTAAGCTTGCTACGAGAACCAGCACCAGGCTGGATGGCAGTTTCTGGATTTTGGGGCTTGTGGGCTAAGTTCGAGTTGGGCGGAGGTTCCCAAGATCCAAATCAGGGCTGACATGTATGGGGGCCCTTAAGCGCCACCTCTGCTATCTGGTGCGTCCCACATATGCATATATATATAGATATACACATCTCTCTCTATCTCTCTCTCTGTGCAGCACCGCGCGTTTTTTTTGCTGAGGGAGGGGGGTTGTGGTGGATAGAGTGGCCATGGCATGCATTGGGCTGTGGGGTCTTCGGTATGGGCTTGAACTCAGGTTTGTACCTTGCTGAGCTTTTGGCTGGACACAGATATGCGTCTATTGTTTGAAAGCATTGTTTTGGCCCTACCCAGAGATATGGTTGCCAGGCAAGCATCTCAATTGACATTTGTGTGCAAGTCCTGGTGGAATACATAGCCTATAAGCTACCGTGATTCTCTAGATGTTCGATCAGGACGAGGGCGCCATGCAAACACAAGTCTGTTTGCAATTCTCAGACTCTTGGCTTCCATGATTCATCCACAAAATCTGCTTCCGAATCCGACGAGGCCTTGAAGGATATCCGCCAACATTTTCACCACAGGACTTTTGGCACTTTGGGTTTCGTTGATGGACCACACGCCTGGATGCACTGACAATTGCATTCCAACCTGGGACAAATACTTTCTGGGGTCCTGCAACGAGGAACTTCCAGATGTGGTGTATCCATAATTTCTAGACTAGGCACTCCAAACTCTAAACCTTACACAATTCGCACAAGTCTGAAAAGCTACAGTAGGTCTGAAATCTTTTCTAATTCTGAAGACTTCCTATGCTTGCCCACTCAGACCCCAACCAAAAGCTCTCAGGCCCCCAAAGAGCAAATCAATTGAAGCCTTAACACCCTAGACATCAGACTTATAAAGCCGTGGATCCTGAATCTGAGCCTGCACCCGAACCCCCAAATCCTAAAGGCCTAAATCCTAAATCCAAAGTCCTAAACCCCAAATCCTAAGTCCTCAATCCTAAATCCTAAACCCTAAGCCCTTTACCAAAATCCTAAGCCCTAAAGCCCAAAAACCAAATCCTAAGCCTTAAACCCTAAACCCTTAGACAGGTCCTTCGGGGCCTTGGCCTCGAACATCCTCGGCCGTCGAGTTACTTGGACCCAGAGTCTGGAGTCTATTTGGGGTAACCCCAATAATGGAGAATCAAATGGAAAAGAACATGGAAAATGAAATGGACACCCTAGGTCCCTTTAAAGGGGTAATCCCCAAATGGGGGGTTTCCACCACATTGGGGTTTAGGGTTTAGAGACTAGGGTTTAGGGTATTATATTAAATTATCCCTCAGTAATGGAAAATCAAATGGAAAAGAAGACGGAACATGAAACGGAAACTGGGATAGTATACGGGTTTACATGGTTGTGGGGGTTTCGGGTTTAGGGGTGTAAGGTTTTTGGAAGTATCGGCTCCCCTTTTTAGGGGGATTGTGGGGCCCCTTAGCAGGGTTCCCTAGAAGGTACGGAACCCAGCATGAAGGGCCCATAGCAGAAACCGTAGCTTCAACCTGAAAAGAGCTGGAGACAGGACAGGAAGCTTTCGATGAACCCTCGTGCACAAGATATGGGTGACCCTCAAGACTATGAATCCCAATGTTAAACCCTAATATAACCCCATTCTAACCCCTTTTATAAGTCCATTATAACCCCATAGGGGCTTTTTGATTATCAGGGGGATGATCGGCACAAGCCCGGCACCTCAAGCCTCGCAACACGATGCTGTGTGAAGCTCCGCTTGAGCCCTGAAAAGACGCATAAATTGCGCGTGAATCCCTATCTACTCCCTACTCCCCAAGTAACCCGCTCTCGCTGAAACCTCAAATTTCCGGTCACCCATCAGGGAAGAATCACTACCCGACACCCAGAGAAACCCCAGTCAGAATTATGATTATTGTGCCTATGGGGAGCTTCCCTGAGGGGTGATTATTCCCATGACCCTAAACCCTAAACCCCTAAATCTTAAACCCTAAACCCTAAACCCCTAAATCTTAAACCCTAAAACCTAAACCCCTAAATCCTAAACCCTAAACCCATGGCCCAAGGCCAAGATCTTAGTCGATTTCTGCTTGGTACTCACCCAATACGGCTTTGCCATTGCGGCTCCACGGCTACATCTCAGGGTTCGTATTAAGGTTTAGGGTTTGAGGGTTTAATAAGTTTGTGGATTTCAGGGTTTAGGGATCCTTTTGTAAGTCGCTCAATTAGGGACTTTGTAGTGGGATTTCTGGACGCCCAACCTTCAGGATCTGGAACGGAACGATCTAGGTCATCCGTGGAACAGGGTAGGCTCTGGTCGGTTTTATACACTTGTTTTGGGGAGATTGGGGTTATTGGGATGAGTGGGGCTATAGGGATAATGGAAAAGAAAATGGAAACTACTATAGTATATTGGGGTTATGTAGGGATAATGGAAAAGAAAATGGAGACTACTATAGTATATTGGGGTTATGTAGTGATAATGGAAAGAAAATGGAAACTACTAGAGTCCTTGCAGTGAGTCTGTGTAGTTCGGTCCTTGCTGTTTTTCTATTGCAGGTAGACTTCTCGTTTCATGTATTACGTTCAGCCCTAAGCGCAAGCCCTTGCTGGGAAACTCTAAAACCCCAGACCCCAGACCCCAAAACCAAATCGTAAACCCTGAACTCTAAACGAGCGCAAAAGTCACATATTCTCCTGCCGAGCTGACTTTCAAAGTGCACAGAAAGAAGAGCAAATCTTGTTTTAGTCTTGGGTACACATTGTGGGTTCGCAAAAAATCCGTTACACAATCCCTAAATGAGGCCCCTGCAATCTCCTTACAGTCCCTGCATATTTCTCAGGGTCCCCTGCGTGGGGTGTTTGGGCCGGTGCAGGCTTCTGACCCTAAACCCTAAACCCTGGAGGTTAAATAGTACCAATAATATTAATAATATTAAGAATGCTGAGAATACGAATAATGGTTGTAATAGTTTTAGTATAGTAATAAGAACACTAATAATAAAAGAGAGGCTTAGAGCTCCTCCTTCATCCCTGTCGAGCAGCTGAGGACATCATTTTCATTGCTTGGGCCCGAGCAGAGTTGCTGTGTCCATGAGCGTCCCATGCACAATTAATTCACTTCCGTTCGGCGCCTCTTGGACGGAGTTCAGAAGTCCTAGTTGGGCTCAAGAGTTAGGGTAAAGAAAGCCTACTCGCACGCCATGCCTACAGACGGGGCCCCGGCGAAGTACCAGAAAACGGCTCTGACCGCGGCAGAGTCAGCCAAGTCCAAAACAGGCCGTGTCATCCTTATCACCGGCACTGGGGGCTTTGTGGGCTTCCACTGCGCCCTGGCCCTGAAGAAGCGGGGAGATGGAGTCCTAGGCATGGACAACTTCAACTCCTACTATCCCGTGGGCATCAAGTACGACAGGGTGGAGACCCTGGAGCGTGCGGGCGTCTACACTTTTAAGGCGGATCTGAATGACAGAAGTTTCATGGACCACATCCTGAAGGAGCCCCGGGTTTGAATTGTGCATGCTCAGGCAAATGGCACCCCATGCCCCGATCAGGATTGAAGATGCGTTCTGTGATTCTCTCTGACAGTCCGAAGGAATGCTGATGCAATTCTTTTTGCCCATGCAGACCCTGTGGAACCTCCACTGTGATTCCTGTACAACCCTTATACAGGGCCCATGAGAGCTCTATAAAGAGCCCCGTGTAGCATGTAGTCCATATCGGCCCTAGGCAACTGCCAGCATGGTTTAATGTCAATGTAACAAGGAGGACGGAGTCTCTCAAAAGAGCCCATGTATGCTCCTGGGGAAGGACCCTGAAACCCAGCTCTCCCCACAATCCAACAATGAAGGGGCCTGACAATTGAGTTCCATCAGAGCGGTAGTCATATAAGGGCCGTAGCGTTTACAAGTTACTGTTATCGGTAAGTGTTTAGGTTTCTAGGTCAATAATGATCGTTTTCAAATGTGGAGTTCGCCCCTCTCACCTCAACATATTGTAAACTATATTATAGGAACTTAATTTGGCAGTTCCCCCCAAATAGGGGGACCCCCAGATAAAGCCCCAAGATACGACAATCCCATTTATTGGGACCCCCCACTGGTACCCCTAATTCTAAGGAACTACCACTTATACTCTGCACTTGTGGCAAGAAACCCTACGCCCTAAAAACACAAACAAAAACCAAGAAAGCCCAGGAGTACGGTGTGACCCATGTGCTGGCCCTAGCCGCACAAGCTGGCGTACGCTATGCCACAAAGGACCGAAGGGTTAACTGTATGTAGGTACATGGATATGTATGTACATATATATTTTACTTATATTGAGATGCGAGTAGATATACGTATATGCCCCTCCCTCTCTCTCTCTCTCCCTCTCTCTCTGTGCCCGTCCATGCCTCCGCCCGTCCGTCGATCCGTCTGTCTCTCTCTCTCTCTCTCTCTCTCTGTCCTTCTGTGTCTCTAAAACGCTTATAGATGCATATACACCTAGAGAGAATTTAAGTGTCAACATTTAGGGTTCAGGGGTGTTCAGGGCTCCCCAACTGCTCAAAGCAAGGCCCTGCCAGACCGCTATGGGCGCTGATGCCCTCACTAGGTCCTGCCCGACAATAGATTGCGCTTTGAACGTTCGGCCACTTAAGCCCTAATCTCATAAACATGGCTTAAAGCAAGCCTTACAGCTTCTTTGAAACCCTTTCGCAGAGGATCCGGCCTCCTACGTTTCCTCTAACATCTCCGGCTTCGTGAATCTTTTGGAGGCTTGTCGCTTCTGCGACCCCATGCCGAGAGCTTGGCCTGCAGTTTAGGCTTTAGGCTGTACTTGGAGTGTCAAGGGGACTTAGTAAGTAGGTTAGTAATAGGGATAGTTAGTGTTGCCAAATGGGTTATAGGGGTTATTAACCTATTTACTAAGTCCCCCTGACCCTCCAAGTAAAGGATAGAGTTCGTGGTTTAGGGGTTGGGGCTTCAAGACGGCTATTGGGGCTTCAGCCCTCATGGCAGCGGTGTGTTGAGTATCTCTGTCAGGAAGCGTCTCAGTGTTACAGTTCCCATTGAGTAGATAGAATATGAGGTATATGGAGATCTTGTTATAATATGCCCAAAGCCATATTCTATCTACTTAAGGGGACTATAGTTTTATGGTTGTAAGGTTTGGAGGTTTGTGGCTTCTTGGCGAGGATTGGGCTCAGACCAGTTGGTGACGATTGTCAGGATCTGTGGTTTCCGGAGTTTCCTTGGCTCCGGTAGGAGAGCGAAGCATAATTGATATGACCTGCTGTCAGTACTGTGGCTACCAACGGACTATCAAGGGTGGACAAAAGGCTCCTCTGGGTAGTTTAGTATCCTTCCTAGTAGACTCCCTAATAGGAACCTATGTCCACTCCGCATTTTACTTGAATTATCGACTCTCTGTGACAAGTAAGTTATCAGCCAGATTCTGCGCAGATTTTCCACATTGGCGCGGGGACTCCAGGGGTACAGTATTGAGATTGTGAAGGAATTATGCGGGTCTCTGTTGGGAACGAAAACAGTAGGCCGTCTGACAAGTTCCCCATATGATTCCAGTGTAATGCCCAGATTTATTCTGCACATTCCAGTATCGCAATCCCCACATATCAATCTAGGTCCCTGTATGAGGAATAGTCTATGCGTCCTCCAGCTCCGTGTACGGCCTCAACACCGTGAGCCCCTTCTCCGAGGACTCTTCAAATGGCAGATTGTTTAGGTCTAGGAGTATATTGGGGTTATATTGGGATTACATTCGGGTTATATTGGGATAATGGAAAATAAAATGGAAACTATAGGGATTATAGGGATTAGGAGTATGAGAGTTTCATTAGAGATTCAGAGTTGGAGTTGTACCCGTTTGCCCTAATGAAGGACCCAGCGTAGAAGGGATCACCATCTGCTCACATGGAACAATGAAAAGAAGGATTCCAGAATTTTGCGACCCAACCCGTAACTCTTTAGACCCCTAGTTGCAAAACCCCCAACCCTAAATCCTTAAATCCTTGTATCCCTCAACCCTCAAGCCCCTAACCCGAAGCTGCAAGCCATGAACCTCTCCAAGCTCTAAACCCCATTTCCGAGTTGGGAGGAGCACCAAGTTGATAGGCCCGCGAGCCTCTATGCAGCCACCAAGAAGGCAAGGTCACGCGATCTTAAGACAGGGCTTCTTATTGTTACTGCGGTTTAGTAGGGAACTGAGGGAATATAATATAATCTCTATATATTCCCCTTATAATATAGTCCCTCAGTCCCAATAACCCCCAGTAAGTATTGGGGTGTGCGAAGACCATGCCCCACTTCATTGTTCCCTTGGTAGTCTGTATGATAGAGTTTTTTTTAGCACATGCCGTTATGAACGAGACCTATCTCGGGAAAATCTCATGATTGAAGTGGTGGTAGTTCCCGGATATGGACAATTGAGCTGCTGGTGTTGAAGGGCTTTTTGCCATTTCCAGCATGAGGGTTTCGGAAGGGTTCAGAGGATGGTGGGTAAGCGGAGATGATGCGGACATGAAATGTGTGTCGGCTCTTACAGTAGTCAGCAAGTCTCGAGGCACCAAGCGCAAGCCATAAGTACAACTGTGCCAGGTCCGGTGCGTCGCAGTTTGAGAATTACCTTTGGCTTTTGGATGTTGTGCCGGCTGAAGATCACATAATTAGGGGCTAACGACCAGCTGAAGCCGTCGGATTGCAGTGCCCTTAAACTGCCAACAGAGGGGTGTGAACCTTTATATGGTTCATTAGCTAATCGTAGTTATAGAAGTAATTTTGCTGGTTGCCAGTGGCCCCTACATTCTCCCCATCGCATGGTAATTTCCATTCATCCATATACTCAAGCTGAACATAGGCGAACGAGATGATCGCACACACCTACAACCACATCTACGGCCTCTCGCTTACGGGCCTACGGCTCCTGGCCTGTCTCAAGAACGAGGGGATCTTCTTGGGGGGTTCCATCAACAGAGGGCCCCGATATGTAGACCATCAGTAGTAAAGGGACCCCAAACTTGGGAAAGCCTGTGTGGTGAGAGTCCCTGTGTTCTATGGAAATGAGTGTTAGGGAATCCTTGGCTCTCTGAATTCTAGAGATGGAAGCCTACCCCGAGCCATGATGCATCAAAGCCCTGCAGGACGAACGGCCCTAGGCCCCAGCCTGGCATTGTTGGACCCACGTCCCCAGAGGGTTGGCTTGGAGCCCTGGTTCATAAGACGTGAGGACGCATCTAGGATTCCCGACAGTCGTTCCCTAAACCCTTATGAAGGCGTGACTTTGCAAAATTCTTGACTTGGACATTTCGGCTGCGGGAAACTGGGGTCCGAGCTCAAGTTAACCAACTGCTCAATCTAATTTGGCCGGGGTCCTATGCTAGGCCCTCCAGAACTAGGCACTGCCACTTTTGACCTCATTTTCCATTGTGTTTTTCATGTGTTTCTCTGTTCTTCAACACTAAATCCCGAGCCCTATTGCCCCAACTTGTCCAACCTTCTGGATCCAACCCGGAATCCGTTGAACGCTATGGAAAGGCCCAAGTTATAAAGATGTGATACCTTATAGTCTCTTATGATTGCTATTTTTAGCCTTACGCCCTGAAAGCAGAATTTCTCAGGTTCTTCACAGTCTACGGCCCGTGGGGGCGGCCTGACATGCCCGCTGGCCCAGCTTTGGTGCAGGGTTCGCACGATTCAGGGTTCAAGGTTTTGGAATTGAGGGCTTTGGTTTCAGGTTTCGGGTTTTAGTCTTTGAGGGCTTTCGTGTTTAGGATCTGGGGTCTAGAGTCTAGAGTTAAGGGCTTCGGACTTCTAGTAGGATTCTTTTGAGGGCCTCCTTTCATTCTTTGGAGTGCAGGTTGCGCACGGTCTCAGCTCCTCCTTCGGGGCGCCATGCTACCTTCTTTTTTGAGGGACAATGAATGAGCCCTCTCGCAAGCAAACATGGAGCTTGAAAAGGGAGCCGCTGTCCTGTAAAGCGGGGCTATAACTTGTTCCAGCCACGTGAACTTACGTCAGGACGAAACTGCCAAAACACGTGGCCCAAAACTCTTGTATACGGGCTCTGGACTTGTCCCAGTCTGTCTGCAGCAGAATTTTGAAGGGCCAGGAACATCTCAAGTGGGCTTGATACATGGATGCTTCACACAGAAGTTGGCCAGTCTTACAATAACAGCGGAAACACCAACGGATAATCATGATTTGTCTCTCATCCCCAGAGTAAGTCCCAAATGGACAAACCCTTTCCATGCAGGAAGTTACAGGAAATACTGCCTGCCGATCAACACCTTTGCCGAAACCCGCACAGGTATCCACCATCACAGATAGTTCGTAGTGCTGAACAAGGAGGGTCCCCCTGCATACCCGCAAGCCAGAGAGGAGAAAGTGGAGCGGAAGCTCTCATGACATGTGTCTACCTAAGGCCTAAACCCTAAACCCTGGAACTTGAGCCCTTGAGCCTGAATCCGACTTTAAGGTTCGCCTTCTCAGCCACCATCAAGATCCACAAAGGAGAGGCCCTGAAGATCTTCCAGGGCCCAGGTGGCCATCCTCCAAATACGGGGAGTAGAAGGGGTTGCTTAGGGTTTATAGGGTTTATAGGGTTTACAGGGTTTTATAGGGTTCATAGGCTTTATAGGGTTTAGGGTTTAGGGTTTATGGGGTTTAGGGTTTACAGGGTTTTGGTTTAGGGTTTATATTCAAGGTTCGCCGACCATACCACTTGTAGTCGCCACCAGGGTAATAATTAGATTTATTCTTCGTACAGCCCCGCTTAGACCTACCCATAAACCATCAAGTGTTGATGGCTGAAATATCACATGTGGGTCTCCCTGCTTCCCCTTAGCGTTTTAACTTAGAGCCTGAGTCCTTCCTGGAACTTACAGACGCATGACAGCCTAAAACCTTAAAATCCAAACAATAACGCCTATTCCCTAAACCCTAGACCTTCAACACCTAAAACCCTAAACCGTAGACCTCTAGACCTTAAACGCCTAAAGCCCTAGACGGTAAATCCTAAACCCTAAACCCTAAGTGGTACTTTCCATTTCGTTTTCCATTCTTACTAAGTCCCAATGACCCTAAACCTCGGAGCTTGGAATTGAGACATCCCCAGGTGGCTCTGAGTTAGAGAGGGACTTCACCTTCATTGACGACACTCGATTGCAGGGTTCAGACTTGAGGGTTCAAGATCTAGGGCTGGTGACCTCCTCACAAGAGCCACCCATATTGAGTTCACTGAAATATTGTGCTAGGCGATGAAGATTCCACTTGCTGGCTAGTTTTTTTTGAGTTACTGAGGGTTTCGCGTTAAAGTGGCTGTGCCTTTTTGAATGACAGTGGCTTCTTGCTGAAAATGCACCCACGAAACAAGGTTGCATGTAGCATGCAGGGGCAAATAACCCCTCTCTGAAAAGTGATTTGGTGCTTCTCCAAATAGGAATAGCCTGGGGTCGCTTGGGGCCATAAGCAGAATATGCGGTTCTAACTATGAAGGATTCCACAAACCCTAAGCTCCGAGCCTTAAACACTAGGCCCTGAGAACCCTTAACCCTGAACCCTGAATCCTAAACCCAAATCCCCAAACCTAGGCCTGAAATTCTGGTCATTTTTCGTAGTAGAAATAGGAATAGTATGGAATAGCAACTGTTGTTCAAGCAGCTCTTAGGACATTGTTGCCGGCTGTGTGGCCTCGGTGGACAAAATCCCGGCGTCCACCAAAGAGACAGCACACTGCAAGGTCTATAACCTCGGGAACAAGGCAGGTTGAGGGTGTCTACGTTAGGGATATAACGCCAATGACGGAGCAGCCTATGAAAAGAACATGGAAAATCAAATGAACACTATGATGTTACTCTGGGTGGGGATTGGATCATATAGTTAGAAGGGTGGAGAAGCAGATGGAAACAAGAATTGACAATGAATTGGCAGCCGAGATTGTGTAGTGGTTTGCAAGGATTCGGATTTCCAAGGCCTGCAGCCTCGGGAACAAGAATGCAGGGAGGGAGATATGGAGATAAATAGGGATGTACAGGGTATGGGGTGTAGGGTCAGGGTTCCAGGATCTAAGTCGTGCTGTTGGTGCGAAGTTTGGGGTGTAATGAGGGCTGAAACTGAAGAGTATAGGATTTAAGTCGTGCGGCTGAGGGTTTGGGATTTTAAGGCGTAGGCTCTTGGGTTTAAGGTGGCTTTGGGGTGTACATTACAAGCCCAATTATAGAAAAAAAGAGGCTGCGCTCATTCAACGTAGAAGGACACCCTAAACCCTCGCACCGTGCGGGCTTTGATCCGGGATGGTAGTCAGCCTGATTTCTATCTGGTTTCCAAGGTGTGGCCAGCATTTTAGGGGGTTCTGCCACAGGGACTGGACCGCTTGTGCCAGTATTAGCGAGATGAAAGTTCAGAGCGGCTCCAAGTTTGAAATCACGGTGTGGGCACTTTGTGCTGGGTCTCTAAATAAATTCATACTGCATACCGCATTCATGCCTTCAAGCCCCCCAGAGTCTCTCCAACCTTTGGAAGAAGGATCCAGTAACGGTCACCTACATGATCGAGTGTCTCGAACGGGCGATCGGGAAGAAGGCAATCAAGAACTACGTTCCTATGCCCCCTACCGGAGACGTGCTGAAGACCAGTGCTGACGTGTCCTTGGCAGAGAAGGAGCTAGGCTACAAGCCTACGACCTCATTGCAGGATGGCATTAATAAGTTCATTGAGTGGTACGATGAGTACTACAAGGAGGGCCTGACAAAAGAGATGGCCTCATATGTTCCATACTAGTGGAACATTGCTTTCAAGCATGACAGAAGCTAGTGCGCTACGCATTAGTTTGTGCCGTTCCAGCAGGGTTTCTGCGGTTCTGCGCTCAAAGTGATCGCAACAAGCCTCTTGCTTGTGCCGCTGTGACAGCTGGCAAGCATTTTACGAGCCACACGCTGCCAAAAAGATGGGGAGCAGTTTCGGGTTTGCTTGGAGGTTCATGGAAAGTGATAAGTCAGGGTTATATAAGTAGGTTAGCAATACTTATCACCCTGAAAGTATTCAGAATCCCATCTTTTAAGTAACCGTAAACCTCCAAAACCATTTTTTCGAGCAAGAGCTTGCACGTGCAATTCATCATGCAAGCCGCGCTGATCCTTCGCTGGCCGCCCAGGTGGAGAATGTGCGGGACGTGGTTTGTTTGGAAACATCCCGCCGCTGGGTTAAATTTGAGATGATTTTTTTGTAGGGGGGAGAAGCCGTTACAAACCCCTACACAATGACAGGCACTCTCTTTTTCCTAAGAAATCCCTGTCAACCGCCTGATTGCTATAAGAGTGGCGTTCTTGTTTTGGAGCCTCCAAATCTCTGAGGCAACTACAGCGGGTTTAGGGCCCCCTATATACTATACGATATACCCCTGATATAAGTTTCCCTCTATTGGAAGCCGATCTCACATGCCCTAAGCCCTAAACCATATACTTAGACCTGAACGCCTGGGGTCCCTACATTGGTTGCTCTCCCACATGTCCTAAACCCTAAACCCTAAACCCTAAACCCTAAACCCTAAACCATAGACTTAGACCTGAACTCCCGGGGTTAGGCACAGCTTGCCCGTCTCGAGCTGCCATGTGCGCGGGAGCTTTGCTACGTGGCTGCAGCTTCCTGTCTCCTTGCTCTTTGGGTTAGGGGTTTCTGGTCTTATAGTGTATAATATTGGGGTGATATAGAGGTTATATAGGGATAATGGGAAAGAACATGGAAACTGCTATTCAGGGTTTAGGGTTTATGGTCTTATAGTGTATACTATAGGGGTTATATAGGGATTATGGGAAAGAAATGGAAGCTACTGTTTAAGGTTTAGGGTTCGTGGAGGGTTTAGTGGTGTTTGAGGCTTTCAGGTGGTTGGCCAGTAGGGAATGGAAAATCAAAACAGACGAGAAGCTCTTACATGAAATGGACTCTGGGGGCTGCTGGGCATACATGGAGTTTGGGGTTAAGGCACTATACGTTTCCTACTTTTTAGGGTTATAGTCCCCCTTAAGTAGATAGAATATGGGGTATATGGGGATCTTGTAAAAAATATGCTCAAAGCCATATTCTATCTACTTAAGGGGGACTATAGAGGGTTTATTAGAGTTGGAGGGTTTAGGGCTTAGGGTTTACTCTCCGCGGATGAAGGCAAGATGATTTAGGCATCCTGGCAAGGTACGCCTCGGCTTCATCCCGCAGCAAGGACACCCAGTAGTAAGGCGGCCCAAAGACGCACAATTTTCAATTACTATTACTACTAGTTGTTATAATTATTATGATTGTCATTATTATTGTTCTTATTAGTTATATTATCTATAGTTGACACTATTATTTTTACTGATCCCAAAGCTCTCCAGAGGGCTTCGCCAAGGAGCTCCTTTGCAACCCGCAGTCACACCCTACACCCTAAACAGTAGTTTCCATTTGCTTTTCCGTGAAACCCACTGACATGAACTATGATCTAAACTCTTTAGAGGGTGGTTATATAGGGAATTATATAGGGGAGCATTATAGGGGTTATTAAGGGGGATACTAGGACTGTAGACCATGGTTCATATAACCCCAATGTACTATAGTATTTTCCTTTTTCTTTTCCGTTATCTTAAT